CTGTACGCAGGGTTAGTTCTGCAGCAGTTTGTACATTGTCATTACCATTGAGAAACCGTACTGAGTACCATGGTAGCGGACAAGTTGTTTCTGTAAATTTCATGATGAATATCCTTCATGTGACACAAAATTGTATACCAGTTCAGAGAACACTGACTTATCCAACATTTCCAGTTTTTTGCAACATGCATATACATCGTGAATTGTGCAATATCTCGTCGTATACCAGCCTTCGGCGGCGGCGGCGGGGGGGGGGGGGTTATAGCTTAAATAACATATACAAACATGCCTTTACAATACAAAATCTTTTCTAAGTAAGGAACAGCAATTACAAACACGCAGTTTTAATGAGAAAACAAAGTTTAATTTTCTATTGTACCACTACATAAATGATAATATATTAGAGATGTCCATCTATTCGTAAACCACCTACCGAAACACACACAAATTTGAGTTGTAATACTTGTTTATTTGAAGTAATTGACATACATTGTAGTGAATAGAATGAAGTGCTAGCAATAACACATTCACTGTAAGTTACCGGCCTTGTGGATTTCGAGCGATCTGATGAAGAAAGAAAGGTATATTTAAGGTCATATTGTATTCATAAGAACTGTGAATCTTCTTACGATTATATAAGCATGGAGAAACCTACAAACATATTATTTTATACAATGCGAGTGATAGGATTTCTGTTTTAACTTAAACAATTCAGTAGATCGTAGGTTTGCTATGGGATAATATTATTATAACATGCTTACTTCTTAGGTGTTGAGTTTACTGCGAATTACCATCTCTGTCTTCATCATTTAATGAATATGACCTAGATAGCGATCCTACATTGTAAAGAACCAATGAACACAGTATTAAATACAACTTCAACGTATGCGTGGAGCGTTGTCAAGGCATTTTGCATTAGAATCATTCATAATTTAAAGTAGAACAAAAATCTACACAATTTATCTGATTTGTATAGGTAATATGTCGATCTTTTAATTAGAGAATAATAAAAATAATAAAATAAGGCTAATAGTTTGTACTTACTTCCTTGTTTCCATTTACCAAACCAAGGGTTCTGAGGATCTGCTCGCCTGTCATTATCAGCATTGTTGTTAGTTAAAGGATTCGAAAAGCCTATATTTTTCAAAAAAGAGAAAGAAAAAAAACGCAAGTGCAATTTTTGTCATGTGTCTTAATATTCTGTATGGTATATTGTTATGGGGTCAATTCAATTTATATGACTATATACTCTCTATACAACATATTTTTTTTAATTCTGTTCCTCAGCCTATAGCCTATAGTCCATAAACACTACGATAACTATTTTTTGACATTGTAAAATTGTAGTCGCTTATTTGTAAAACAAAAATGACAACACTTTATTTTGACAAGAACATTCAGAAATATATCAAGAATTTCATGACGACATGTATTCCATGTGCATACAAATGACAATTTTCATAATTCCGATTACAAAAGTATATTACAGAAAATAATTTTATTTTTCTTGAATTATGACTGCAAAATCTAAATAAAATTAGGTAGTGTGTTCAACAACTCATGTATGAACAATAACTTTCTCAAATATGATTTTATTTTGAAAAATACTATATTTTCCTGTATAAAAACGAAATTTTATG